TTACTTTGATCTGAGGTGATTGAGGTGACTTTAGATGACTTTAGGTGATTTAAGTTAGGTTCACTTAAGTTAGCTTCAGTTAAGTCAGGTTAAGTCAAGCTTAGGTTCAGTTAAATTAGGTTCAATTGCAGTTAGCTTCAGTTACAGTAAGTAAGGTTCAGTTAGGTTCAATTACAGTTAAGTTAGGCTCAGTTCAGGTTCGGTTTAGTTACAGTCAGTTAGGTTCAATTACAGTTAAGTTAGGCTCAGTTCAGTCAGTTCAGGTTCGGTTTAGTTACAGTCAGTTAGGTTCAATTACAGTTAAGTTAGGCTCAGTTACAGTAAGTCAGGTTTGGTTTAGTTACAGTCAGTTAGGTTAAGTTGGGTTCAATTACAGTTAAGTTGGGCTCAGTTCAGTCAGTTCAGTCAGTCCAGGTTCAGTCGTCACCGTGAGACCAATGAACCACCAGAACACATAAACGTGACCAGTAGTGAAGATCCTCTCTCTCTTATTCCCCACCTTGGCCAGTCGACCCACCTTGGCCAGTCGACCCACCTTGGCCAGTCGACCCACCTTATTACCAACACCATTACATAACACCTTGAAATACCTGGACCAGTTTAATTAATTTTTATTTTTACGAGAACACACACACACACACACACACACACACACACACACACACACACACACAGTCTCTCTCTCTCTCCCTTGTCAAATAATAATAATGATAATAATAATAGCAACAACAATAACACCAATAACAATAACATAAAAAACAATAACAAAAGAAACAATAATAATAACAGCAACATCATCAATAATAACAAACATAACATTACCTACGCCAGTCCCTCCCTCGCCCCATATTGAACAGAAATAGAGAAAAATAATAAGTAAAATAACCTTGTACCAATTGATCTTTATCTAATCTCTATATAAGTGTTTATACGTGAAGAGGATTGGTGATTCATACGTAGGAAAGATTGGATGACTCGTATACAGGGAACGATTGGCGATTCATTCACAAGGAAATAAGATTGGTGATTCATACTTGGGGAATGATTGGCAATTAATACTCAGGGAAAAGATCGGCGATTCATTCAAGTATACATTCCAAGTATACATAATTGCATATCACTACACACGAGTATACTGTATATAATTATGTATATATTATTATACTCAAGTATACATAATCAATGAGGGTTAAGAAATTATAAAGACTTACTATGTTGTGGTCCTGTTCTCCTTGATAATTATATTACTGTGTTATTAGAAGTATTATACCGGATTATACCACTAAGAGGCTCTCATATTGTCTAATAATCGTTTAAATATGAAGAATGAACTAATTATATTTTTTTACGTGAGATATCTCTCATGATGCGCAACTAGACAGGTTTAGTATAGTTAGCCATAATGTTTGTATCGTTTTCTCTCATACGTTTTGAGTCTCGTTTTCTGTAAAGAGAGAGAGAGATTAATGATGAGAAATATAAAGTAGTAAAAGAAAGATTGAGAGAGACAATAATAAGAAGAAATAAAGAGAAACCCAAAGATTAAAAGAGAGTTAGAAAAAGACAATAATGATGATGAGAAATAAACAAGGCGACTCATCTATGGTGGACAAGCGTGAGAAATTTCCCCGGATGTTTTAGGAAAGTCCATCATGAAATTTCCTTTTTATGATTACATTTTGTGTCTCACTTTAACTCACTAATGTTTCCTTCCAACTAATGCTATTGATTCCGGTAGTGTGTGCATCTTTGTCTATGTGAGTGTATCTATATGTATGTCTATGTATGTCTGTGTGTGTATATGTCTGTGTGTACATGTGTGTCTGTGTATGTATTAGCACTCGTCACTTTCCCTCATTGATCAAAGTTGTTTTGGTGATCTAAATGTTTGACAATATTACCCGGATGTGAGGCGACGGTGACAACGGTTAACGCAGCAGAAACGAGAGAGAGAGAGAGAGAGAGAGAGAGAGAGAGAGAGAGAGAGTCGTGTGTTAATGAGGGGAGGGGAGTGACACCTTCCCGTTATGGATGTTGTTTATGATGGTGTTGGTGGTTGAAAGTGTTGGTGATGGTAGTGATGATGATAGTTGTCAGTTGAAAGGCTTGGTGGTAGTAGTGATGGTAATAGTGGTAGGAGTGAATGAAGATGATAGTTACTGTGGTGAGTATGGTGACAGCCCATCATCCGTCCCACCACCATCACTACCACCATCACCACCATCACCACCACCACCACCACCACCACCACCCATCACTACCATCACCACCATCACCACCATCACCACCATCACCACCACCACCACCATCACCACCATCACCACCATTACTACCACCACCACCTCCTTCAATAACCACCTCAGTAAGTAACGAGGTAACTGACGGATACTGGCAGGTGAGGGTACACCTCCCTCCCCACAACAGCTGCTGGACGAACACCCCCCCAGGCGGCCATTGTGGTGGGGGGGAGGAAGGAAGGAGAGAGAGAGGGCCTTGTGCCTCCTCCTCCTCCCTCGTCTTCTTCCATCAAGAGTGACAGGATTCACATAGAATCTCCTCTCTCCCTCCCTCCCCTCCTCTCCCTCCCTCCCCCTCCTCTCCTCCTCCCTCCTCCCCTCCCAGTCGCTACACATGAGAGAATAGATTTTAAAATTACAGTAGAGTCTCAGGCTAATTTGGACGCCATTTCAACTGTTATCTCCTAGACGTAGTGTACAGTAAGGAGCCAGTCTGGTGTTTGTTTACATCACCAGTTTGGGGGTGATTAACCTGTTGTCTCCGTCAGTGTTTATGGTTGTCAGCCACTGCCCTGAGGGGAGGGTTTGTGACCAGGTAGCCACTGCCGGGGAGGTGTAGGGACTGAGGGAGGGGTGTAGGGACTGAGGGAGGGTTGAGGAGGGTAGCCACTGCCGGGGAGGGGGGGTGGGGACTGAGGGAGGGTTGAGGGGGGTGTAGGGACTGAGGGAGGGTTGAGGGGGTCAGGGACTGAGGGAGGGTTGAGGGTGTAGCCACTGCCGGGGAGGGGGGGTGTGGGGACTGAGGGGGGGTTGAGGGGGTGTAGGGACTGAGGAGGGTTGAGGAGGGTGTAGCCACTGCCGGGGAGGGGGTGTAGGGACTGAGGGAGGGTTGAGGGGTGTAGGGACTGAGGGGAGGGTTGAGGGGGGTGCAGGGACTGAGGGGAGGGTTGGGGGTGTAGCCACTGCCGGGGGGGGGGGGGGGGACTGGGGACTTGAGGGGGGGTGTAGGGACTGAGGGAGGGGAGGGTGGGGACTGAGGGGAGGGTGAGGGGGTGCAGGGACTGAGGGGAGGGTTGAGGTGTAGCCACTGCCGGGGAGGTGTAGGGACTGAGGGGAGGGTTGAGGGGGCAGGTCAAGCCAGTGAGTCTCCATTACACCTTGAGTAACAGTGTTTTTATGAGTGTGTTACGAGGTCGAGGTAGCTGTACGGACCCTCCTGTGTGTGTGTGTTTTAAGGTGAAATAAGCAAGGGTGACTATTGTTTAGGTGATCCATAATAATAATAATATTAATAATAATAATAATAACAACAACAACATTGGTTCATCAGTTCACTGTGTGTTTGTTAATTTTTCTTGAAACTAGAAATTGTCATTAATAATCGAGGTAAGTGATTAACCATTTATACACCCTTCCTCTCTCCCTCTTGCCTCCCCTCCTCCCTCCCTCCCTCCCTCCCTCCCTCCCTTCACCCATTGCGTCAGGAGGACCATCTGGCGTGTGTTAGGTTACAGAGTGTCGTGGCTGTCAGTCAGAATACATCACAGGTAATTAATTACACCTACCTGCTTGACGGCTAATTAATTACACCTGTTTACTTCATCCTATCCCAACATAATTAATTCCACGGACTTACTTGATTCTCTCAGGTAATTAATTCCACGCACAGTACCTACCTGACGCAGGTGTTCAACAGTCACCGTTATTACAACAGACACAACAGTATGAAAAACGGGAAATTCAACAGAAAGAGAAATATGACCAAAATAGATCTATTATATGTTATTGTTTTTAATTCTTTTGAACTATTTCACCAAGAACACAAACAGAGTTATTGATGTATCATTATGCCGAGGAAATAAAGCTTCTGAAATGTTTTAAGAAGGAACAAAAGTTATTCATTAGAGGAGAAATACCGTCATTATTATCATCGTTTCTCCCTGATCCTTATAACAGCGCGAGTCTTTAAGTTTAGTTATAATTATTGGAATATTCTTGTGTTAATATGAGTCAAGAAGAATGGAAAGTTGCTCTACATACAGTACATCACCTGGTTTAAGGTACAGGTACACCTGAGGCGGCAGTGTTACCGAGGGAGGGACACACGCAGCTCTCACCACCACTATGTCTCTCTCTCTCTCTCTCTCTCTCTCTCTCTCTCTCCGCTGTTCAAGGTGGCGGCCTGTAAAGAGAACCATTAGTTATTTACTGTCATTATCCCGACCTTTATGTAGGTTATTGAAGAGTTATTTATGGTGTATTAGGTAATTGTCTTGTCATTTGTGTTTATTTTGAGGAAGGTGTTCTTGTAGGTTGTAGTGGTGGTTGTTGTTGTTGTTTTGGAGGTGGTGCTTGTTGTTGTTGCTGGTGGTAATAATGGTTGTTGTTGTTGTTGTTGTTGTGGATATTACAGTAAAATGTATTAAAAACTTTCACTCGATAAGAACCATCAGAGTCATATATCTAACTCGTAAATAAACAAAACCTTGAGAGAGTCATTAATAAATCATCAATTAGTTTATATAAATGATATACAAGCAAGGAATCCAAGCACAAAAAATCATGAATGGAGACGTAAAGTATAGCAACCCCTGGCAACCCTGGGAAGACGATGGTAGTAGCGGTGTTGTGAAGTGTTTAGTGTAACTCTCAGGCCGGGTGGGGGTGTGTTGGTGGTCCTGGCTTCCTCCCGTGTCTTCCTCCCGTGTCTTCCTCCTGTTACGATACTGACACGTGGTCTGATTGGCACTGTTACGTGGTCTTGTTGGCACTGGCAATACCCAGGGTCTTGTTGGCAGTTTTTATCCTTTAGTTAAATGATTTTCTTTGATTCGTTGCTGTGTTAACTACTGTGGGGACCTGTGATGACTATGTTAACTACTGTGGGGACCTGTGATGACTATGTTAACTACTGTGGCGACCTGTGATGACTATGTTAACTACTGTGGCGACCTGTGATGACTATGTTAACTACTGTGGCGACCTGTGATGACTATGTTAACTACTGTGGCGACCTGTGATGACTATGTTAACTACTGTGGTGACCCGTACGTGACCTATAATGGCTGTGTTTGAGGAAGGAGGTACTCAGCGATACCAGACACTTGTAATACTACGAACGACTATCAATTGACATGAAAACATCTATAAGCGAGGACTGTGAGACGTGTGTTGTGTTATGGCGTCAAAGGTCACACGATCCTGCCACTCAAGGGGACACTGTAGAGATGTTTATCTGTAAGAATTTGTGATTTATTTCCCTTTAAGCTTCAACTGGTGGTAAAAGTTTGTGGTTAATATAAAGAAAATTAATTGAATTGATTGATTGGGTTGGTTGATTGATTGATAAATAAGACCCATTAAACAGAATATCTCCCATAACTTGAATATAAGAAAGTAATCAAGTGTTCTTAGATCTCTGGCAGTGATGTAGATGAAAGCTAAAGTGTGAATTACTGGAAACTAACCGACCGAAAAAAGATGCAGTCACTGGTTTATAGAATCTAGGTGTTTGTGTCGCTCATACTAAGGTTAATGATGATGATGATGATGATGATGATGATGATGAAGGGGACTGTAGTGTTACCTGTGAAGTCAAGACGAATGACCGTATAGTAGTTTGAGAAATTCCTTTTATAACTACTACTTGTCCACACCGACAACACGGTGTGGACAAGTTTGCTACTGGTGTCTGATTCAAGTCAACCTAACCTAACCTAACCTAACCTAACCTACACCGACGACAGTTCTCCCAAGGTCACAATGGTGTACAACACAACAATTTTCCCTGGGAGTTTAGAGAGGATGGTGTCTCCGGGTCCTGGCGACTTGGAGAACTTTAAGCACATCCTCGGCTACTGGCGAGGCACCAATGAACTCAAGAGCAAGAGGGATCTAGCTGGTGAGGTCCTTAGAGTGGCTATAAGGCGTTCCTGTAGGCCGAGAAGTCCTGCTCCCGGAGGATGGAAGGTCACGGTGGACGGCTGGGGGGACCAGGACCCTCGGGCAAGAAGTCCTCCACTCATAAGAGGAAAACAGAGTCCTAAACTAATGAGTCATAGTCCTCGAGTCCTAAGGTGCCAGAGTCCTGTACTGAAAGAAGTAGTTGGTTCAAAGATCAGTAGTCCGAGGCTGAGAGTCCGTAGTCCTAAAGTGACCATTAAGAGTCCCCAACTACGTAAGGCTACTGGTCGTGATAGTCCTAAACTGGCTCTGGGAACTCTTAAGTCTCGTCTAGGTAAAGAAAGTCCTCGCCTTACAGGTCGTGTTCATAAACCAGCATGGCGACCCAAGAAGAGTGTTCACTGGAAGACCAACATCGCTACCTGGATCCAGATGACCGCCAAGAACTCAAGTGTGTCTGTGTGTGAGGCGTCAAGCTGCGGTGATGACTGGAGCTGCCGCCATGAAGGACACGAGAACGAGACGAGTGACGACGATGGGACGATGAGGTTCAACACGGCGGGGAAGAGCATCTATGGGGGATCCAGCACCAAAGACGAGGACTCTTCTGACTTCGAGTACACAGACTTCGCTCAAGTAAACAAGCCAGGAGAGAGAAGAACCAATACCTACGTCAATCCATATTTTATTTCAGTGGCTTCAGGTCCCCCGCCGCTGAGTCTCCGGAAGCAATTGCATCCGCCACCACCACCACCGCCTCCTGATGGTGACTTGGGATCAAATTATTACAATGAGTTGAATTGTTCCTGCGGCTGTCAGGGAAGTGTTGGTTCGTCACACACTTATGAGGATGTTGAGGACAGCTTTGACACCAACAGCCTCACAAGTCATGACACCAAACAGCAGAGAAACAGTAGCAGCAGTAGCAGCAGTAGAAGCAGTAGAAGCAGTAGTAACAGTAGCAATCATACTTACTGTGAAATTAGTCAAGTAGGACGCGGTGCTAAACGGGAGGTTCTGAGTTCTCTTCTTCGTAATGATCACCATCTGGAGTCCCTCAAGTCAACATTGGTCCACGTGTTGCCCAAAGACGACATCACCTCCACCACCCTCCTCGCCTGTCGCCTCGGGGACCTGGAGTACCTGCAGGACTTGGCCAAACAGAGTCGTCTTAACCCCTGCGCCCGGGACCTACAGGGAGCCACCTGTGTACACTACGCTGCTCGGGGAGGACACCTACACATCCTTCGCTTCCTGCTGGAGGATCAGGGGCAGCGACAGGTGATGAAGTGTGATGTTGGCGCCACACCCCTCCACGATGCTGCCGCTCTCGGTCACCTGGACACACTCAAGTACCTCAGGAAACACTCCAAACACACACTTGACCTCACTGATAAGGATGGCGCCACCGTCCTACATGTAGCTGCAAGGTAAACAAGATGGCTGATTCTTCTATTTTTACTAACATTAAAACCTCTATATAATGGACAAGATGAGGAGGAAAGTCCGTTATATCGAGGGTTGGGTTAGGTTAGGTAATATGACTCAAGCAGTACTTATAATAATCCTGAGTAATAATTAAGTGGCATTATCATTCTCAAACCTTTATACCTGTGCTTGTATCCTTACCTGTCTACCTGAAGTCTATTATCACCTCCTAATTAACATAAAAACACACCTGCATGACGTCACAACCTACAATACTCACGAACATCATGACGTCACAACCTACAACAGTCTACAATACTCACGAACATCATGACGTCACAACCTACAACAGTCTACAATACTCACGAACATCATGACGTCACAACCTACAACAGTCTACAATACTCACGAACATCATGACGTCACAACCTACAACAGTCTACAATACTCACGAACATCATGACGTCACAACCTACAACAGTCTACAATACTCACGAACATCATGACGTCACAACCTACAACAGTCTACAATACTCACGAACATCATGACGTCACAACCTACAGCCTATAATAATACCACGAACATCATGACGTCACAACCTACAACAGTCTACATAATACTCACGAACATCATGACGTCACAACCTACAACAGTCTACAATACTCACGAACATCATGACGTCACAACCTACAATACTCACGAACATCATGCACTGATAACTTATAGTAATTTTAACACATCAAGAATAACACAGTTTTTGAAGTTATCTGTCGTGAGATATACACCTGTTGATGACTAATGCCCCCGCTTCCCTCACCCCCCTCCCTCACCCCCTCATCCCCTTCCCTCACCCCACTCAGGTACACACACTAGCGAATTGACTCACCTGCCACCTACAATGTCTCTGTGGTCATAGTAATCATTATATACATGAAATTAGACCTTTATTGTGGGTGATAATGTTAGGAGATTACCACGTAAATGATGTGTTATGTGTGTGTGTGTGTGTGTGTGTGTGTGTGTGTGTGTGTGTGTGTGTTTTACATTCTCCTGCCAACAGCTACAGAGAGAATAACCTTATTTTTAAAATTTAGCGTCAAACAAAAACAAAAATCGTAAACCAAAAACCTAAAAACTAAAACCTCCTGAACACCTCCTAAAGACGCTCAAGACCCTAAAATTAAAACTAAGACCTCCTGAACACCTCCTAAAGACCATCAAGACCCTAAAATTAAAACTAAGACCTACTGAACACCTCCTAAAGACCATCAAGACCCTAAAATTAAAACTAAGACCTACTGAACACCTCCTTAAGACCCTCAAGACCCTAAACTAAGACCTCCTGAGCACCTCCTAAAGACCATCAAGACCCTAAAATTAACACTAAGACCTACTTACCAATACATTATTACACTTATTGTCGCTGATAAACAAAATTTCTCATAGTCTCTACATTTCAACTCCATAAATAAGTCTACTATAAGAGTGTGTTCCACCCTGTGAGGCACGAGGGTCATTGGCTGTCTTGTATGGGTATTATTTAATTAATTTGGTGATATTTTTTCGAGGTTTGCTTCTGAGTCTGCCTGTTGTTTATGTAGTCGTCTCTTGTAGTATTGGTTCTTCCAGTTAGGTGGAGGAGTAACACAGTGGATGATGTCGAGTTGTTCTATTGTGTTGTGGTGTTGTAGTGAATTAATTTATATTGTTTTGTGTTGCGTGGTGTCTGGGGGTAGAAGGAGGGGGGAGGATCTCCATATGTCGTGTTAGCCTCACCTTTGCACACCTGCTGTTGTCTTGCTCATAATGACACTCTGACCTACATTAAACATAAGAGTGAATATGTGTGCGCGTGTCTGTGTGTCTGTCTGTCTATCTGTCTCTTTTCTTCTTTCCATCTTTTTTCCTATTACTTCTTCTTTCCCTGCCTTTCCTCCCTCCTCCCTCCTCCTTCCTCCCTCCCTCCCCCTCCCTCCCTCCCTCCCTCTACAACTTCTCAAAGACTAATACCTACAGACTTGCTTTCCCTTCATTCGACATTAATGAGTTAAAGAGAAGTGAAAACACCTGTATCTGTTTACCTGTCTGTGTACCTGTCTACCTGTGTTCACCTGTGTGTGTGTACCTATAATAATAATAATAATAATAATAATAATAATAATAATAATAATAATAATAATAATAATAATAATTAATGGTTTATTGAGCTTGGCAGTCAGAAGGCTGAAAATATACAGTTACATATTTGGGGAATGGGTTTCGATTTACAAATAATATACAAGTAACATAAGTGATACAATTAAGATATATAATAACTAGATGGGGAAAAGCTCAAACTACAGTGCATTTCAACATAGTGACAGTGCAAGGAGTAGTGTTTACTGGGAGTGAATACACTGGTTGATTACAAGTTATTGATAATTTTTACAATGGTTGGGACTGGGCTGTTCTTATAGCGATCAGTTCGTGCACGTATGGGCTGGATGCGGTTGTGGTGTCGAACAGCAATTCTCGGGCTAGGGATCTCAGGTGGTAGTAGGAGCCGGTGTCGGGGATGGTGTAGAAGCTTCTTACCAAATTTTCAGATGAGATCGTGGTGATGGTCAGAGAGAGACGTGAGGGTCAGTGTGTTGAGCGCTTCTTGATATGTGGAGTAGGAAGGGGAGAGAATAATCTGTGTGTGTACCTGTGTCTCTTAATTCGTTGGCTTAAGAGAATTTCCCCGCCAAATCGAGAAATCTTTGGGTATATTTACGAACTGAACGAGACAACAGTATGGGTGAGTAGGCCTTCATATATGTGTATGTGTGTGTGTGTGTGTGTGTGTGGAGGGTGTGGCCGTGTGTGTGTGTGTACTGAAGCGTGTGTGGACGTGTGGTGGTGCGCGAAGGCAGCGTCAACATTCTTCGTTTACTCTACACTGCTCCATCTCACCTACCCCTGAGCTATCATGTTTACCTCCCTACCTCTATTGTAAAGTTAGTGTTTATACTGTGTGTGTGTGTGTGTGTGTGTGTATGTGTGTTATCTACCTCCCACTGTCTGTTCCTCGTGACGGATAAAGTGCTGTATCGATAACCGTTAAGTGAAAATTATCCTTAATAAAATAAAGTGAGTGTGTGTTGTGTTGTGTTGTGTTGTTATAAATAAATGAATATAAAACTTGAAAGTTGTATAAGACCCACTGAGAGTTGTTGATGTTATAAGACTGTGGGGGGGGGGGGCGGGTGGTCCCTCTCTTGTAGGGTGAGTTCTGGGCTATTGTATTCACTCTTGTACCAAGCGTTGGTTTTGCTTTTTAACGAACTTCACTAAACATCGAATATCCATGTTAAATTTTTTTCGATCTCGTTGAAGAGATTTTAAGGTGTGTTTTGATGGAGTTTTATTGGGGACGAGAAGCCAATCTTGGTGGTCATTTGTCTGCACATACATTTTAGTGGAGAAGTTCGTCCAATAATCATAAAACTTATTGACATCTTCTAATGTAGTGTTGCTTCCTCCAAAGCTTGGTGGTGGCAGGTTATCGGTGTTTTCTTTGCTTTTCATCTCCCAGTACGAAATCTCTTGGAAGAGTTTTCGGAAAACTGTATGAAACCCGGTGTCGGAGTCTGGGGGCCGGAGTAAGACTTCCTTGAACAGTGAACCCATAAGTTCACGGTCCCCCGGGGTTCGCATTGGGAAGTGGGCTTTTGTTTTGATCTCTTCTTCTCGCAGTTTTGGGATTTCTTTTCCTCGCACTTCTAAGAACTATTTTGGTCACACTGAACTTTGTTCAGAGCGACATACGCAGCCTGTATCCTTTGGAATATCTTGGTGGCTTCAGGGTCGTCGGGGTTCTTGTCTGGATGGCATCGTAGCGCCAGACGAAGGTAGGCCTGCCTGATCTCCGTTAGGGTAGCGTCCCTGGTAACACCTAATACTTGCCAATGAGAAGTCATTTTCTGACACAATGGTCAAGTTACAGGACTGTGACTAGGAGGTCAATTTGAAAAACGGCTTCCAACTCAAAAAGAACATGCAATAATTAGCATCGCTCTGTAGTGAATAGAGTTTTAAATGTGTAGTGAGGATAGTTTTAAGTGTGTTGTGAGGATAGTTTTAAGTGTGTAGTGAGGATAGTTTTAAGTGTGTAGTAAGGATAGTTTTCAGTAGTAAAGGGTCGTTCAGTACACTACACAGTCGCTCGGGCAGTAGTGCGTGTGTGTGTGTTGAAAGTGGGAGTTCTTCAGGTTTGTGTACTGTCACCACCACTGTTGATTATACGAGTACAGGTGTTTACAGGTATGGCAGAGTGTGGGAGGAGAACGCGGATGAGAGAGATAGACAGATAGAGAACATTGAAATACAGACAGACAGACAGACAGGCCATCAAGTGAGGTAGGTTGTAAGGTAGACAGTGATGGAGGTACCTATATCCCAACCTATAAATGTGTGGGTTTAATAAGACGCCTCGTAGTAAACACCGAGTCTACCTGACAACACCTGGGGAGGACTTTTACTGTAATGCATTTGAGGAGGTCTCTTATTTTGAGTGATGATTGCTGGGTGTGGGTGTGGGTGTGTGTGGGTGTGTGTGTGGGTGATGGGTGTGTGTGGGTGTGTGTGTGGGTGATGGGTGTGTGGTGGGTGATGGGTGTGTGTGGGTGTGTGTGGGTGTGTGTGTGGGTGATGGGTGTGTGTGGATATGTGTGGTTGATGGGTGTGGTTGGTGTTTTGTGATGGTAGGTGTGACTGATATGTGTTGTGTGGATGTGTTGTGGGTGTGACTAGACATGTGGATAACAGAGGCGGTTCAGAGACGCGACAGTAGTGTTATAGTGTGACGGTCTGTAGATAAAGATGCGTCTCTCTTACCCTCAAGTACCTCACCTACTGTCGTCCACTTTCCCTTCAACTGTCGTTCCCAAGAGACACTGTCATTACCTGGGAACATCAACAACATCTATTAACATCTATTCACTTCTCTCACACACACACACACACACACACACACACACACACACACACACACACACACACACACACACACACACAGAGCAAAGGATGAGGAGGGTGAGGAGGAGGAGGAGAAGCAGGAGGGAGGGTGAGGAGTAGGAGGAAGAAGAAGGGGAGTAGGAGCGAGAGGAGGAGGAAGGAAATGAAGGAAGGAAAGAAGGAATGACGGACACTATTGCTGGTAATGATTAGCTGTTAGAAGGGAAGTAGGAGCCATAAACAGCAGGTAAGGGGCCATATACAGCAGGTAGGGGGCCATATACAGCAAGGGGTGGGGCCACAGCAGGTAGGGGGCCATATACAGGTAAGGGCCATATACAGCAGGTAAGGGCCATACAGCAGGTAGGGGGCCCTATACAGCAGGTAGGGGGGCCATATACAGGGGTAAGGGGCCATATACAGCAGGTAGCCAAGTATACAGTGCAGGTAAGGGCCATATACAGCAGGTAAGGGCCATATACAGCAGGTAGGGGCCATACAGGTAAGGGCCATATACAGCAGGTAGTGGGGGCCACACAGCAAGGGTAGGGGGCCACATACAGCAGGTAAGGGCCATACAGCAGGTAGGGGGCCATACAGCAGGTAAGCAATATATACAGCAGGTATACACATACAGCAGGTAGGGGGGCCACAGCAAGGTAAGGGCCACACACAGCAGAAATATATACAGCAGGTAAGGGCCATATAATAGCAGAAATATATACAGCAGGTAGGGTCATATATAGCAGGTATGGCTCATATATGCAGGTAGGGGCCATATACAGTATTTATTCCCGGATTTGTCTCGTTTCGCTCACTGATTACTAACCGCCTCAGAGTTCCCTGTGACGGAAAGAGAGAGAGAGAGAGAGAGAGAGAGAGTCTTCAACCCAGCATCAATCTCTCTCTCTCTCTCTCTACACAAATTCTCACACCTCATCTCTCAAGGTTCTCACCATCCCACAGCTCTGCACAGTAACGCTATGTAATTAACCTGGACAGTAGAGATCTTAACTATAGAGCCAAGTTGTGGAATACCTGTGATAGTGGACAGGTATTGACTGGTAGTCTGTAATTAACTCATCGACAGGTAATGTGGTGCCACGCGACCTATACTGTACTCCTCCCCCTGTCTGTCTGTCTGTCTGTCTATATCTCTATCCTTTAATTTATTAATGTCTATCTATCTATCTATCTATCTATCAATCTAAATACATGTATGTAACACAGGTACTGGCCACCAGGTAACATAAATACACACCTGTCCAACACCTGTGATCATCATAAGTACACACCTGTCCAACACCTGTGATCATCGTAAGTACACACCTGTCCAACACCTGTGATCATCATAAGTACACACCTGTCCAACACCTGTGATCATCAAGGTATCAGGATTCCAGAGCCCCTTTCAGCCTCCTCTATAAATTGATCTTCCAGTTTGTGTTTCGGTTAACCGCGGGTCGTTAACAGCAGGCCAGTCCAAGGTCTAGTAGGCCCTTAACCTAACCTAACCTGACCCAAGATGTCGTATTCTGAGAGTTTCATTAAGTTTGTGTTTTTACTCTGTCCCTAAGCGGGGTTAAGTGAACGCTGTTACTTAAACTAAAGTTTCATTTTATATCGTATTTTAGGTAGATTATCTGAGTTAGTTAGATACGTTCTCACATCTCCAGTTAAGAGGAAAACTTCAACTGAAAATCATCTGAGAATCCAATTTTTGTGTCGTGGATTAAACGTGGTCATTTAAAACGTTCTCATATTTTCAGTTTGGAGGAAAAGTAAACATAAGAATGTTGTGTGAATGTGGGATCGTTCTATGGTCGCTTGTGGTAGTTATGGGTTCTGTAGGGGGGTAGGTGGCCACAGTGATGCCAGCTCCGGCTCACCACCTCATGTTGTAAATTATAGTGTGTGTGTGTGTGTGTTTTTCCCTATTGGCTGCTACATTGAGGTATTGTGTCTGTCTGTCTGTCTGTCTGTCTGTCTGTCTGTCTGTGCATGTCTTAACTGGGTCTCGAGAGTGCGTGCGTGCTGAAATGTGACAGATTCTAACTCAACAGGTAGTTAATGTTTTTTGTGTGTGTTAAGTGTCGGTTAAAATATTCACAGCAACAAGAGAGTTTACCTGCTGGCTGTTGCACCTGTCAACTCCCATTACGTACAGGTGGAGACACCATTACCGACGACCCTCCCTCCCTCCCTCCCTTCCTCCCTTCCTTCCTTCCTCCTCCTTCCTCCTCCCTTCTCTCCTTCCTTCCTTCCTTCCTTCCTTCCTTCACTACACTAACAACAAGAAGACGACCAGCTTACAGGCACCATGAATATGTTAATACTATCTCAGCTCTCTACCATATGTCAGGCCTGGTTGGTGAGGGGGATGGGGGAGAGGGAGGGAGGTGATGAGAGGGTTAGAGAGAGGGGCAAAGAGGGAGGATGTGGGAAAGAGGAAGAGAAGACGGAGGAAGTAATGGAAGGAAAGGGAGGAAGAGCATGAGAGGAAGATAGTCTAAGGGAGAGAGGAGGACAGGAGGAGAAGAGGGAGACAGACAGACTTACTTAAGCCTGTGGTTAAGAATATATTTCACTGAACTAAATAGTTTTCCTGGTTAATGGTATTTAGGTTACCTTTCACTTCCCTGTCTCTTTCACTGTCACCCCTGTACTTTTGTCTCTTTCACTGTCACCCCTGTACTTTTGTCTCTTTCACTGTCACCCCTGTACTTTTGTCTCTTTCACTGTCACCCCTGTACTTTTGTCTCTTTCACTGTCACCTCTGTACTTTTGTCTTTCACTGTCACCCCTGTACGTTTGTCTCTTTTCACTGTCACCCCTGTACGTTTGTCTCTTTCACTGTCAAATTCTGTAATTCTTTTTGTCTCTTCACTGTCACCCCTGTACTTTTTGTCTCTTTTCACTGTCACACCTGTACTTTTTGTCTCTTTTCTTCACTGTCACCCCGTACTTTTTGTCTTTCACTGTCACCCCCTGTACTTTTTGTCTCTTTCACTGTCACCCCTGTGGTACTTTTGTCTCTTTTCACTGTCAAATTCTGTATTTCTTCTTTTGTTCTTTCTTACTCTGTCACCCTACTTTTGTCTCTTCACTGTCACCCTGTACTTTTGTCTCTTTCACTGTCACCTGTACTTTTTGTCTTTTCACTGTCACTCTGTACTTTTGTCTCTTTTCACTGTCACCCCTGTACTTTTTGTCTCTCTTTCACTGTCACACCTGTACTTTTTGTCTACTTTTGTCACTGTCACCCCTGTACTTTTGTCTTCTTTCACTGTCACCCCTGTACTTTTGTCTCTTTCACTGTCACTCCCTTTCTTCGTCACCCCTGTACTTGTCTCTTTCACTGTCACCCCTGTACTTTTGTCTCTTTCACTGTCACCCCTGTACGTTTGTCTCTTTCACTGTCACTGTACGTTTGTCTCTTTCACTGTCACACCTGTACTTTTGTCTCTTTCACTGTCACCCCTGTACTTTTGTCTCTTTCACTGTCACCCCTGTACTTTTGTCTCTTTCACTGTCACCCCTGTACTTTTGTCTCTTTCACTGTCACCCCTGTACGTTTGTCTCTTTCACTGTCACCACCTCTTTACAGTATACACCAGTTACAGTTGTTTGTTACAGAATACAACAGCTCGTCACAGCGTGCATCATTTACCGTATATGCAGCAGCTAATTACAGTGGAGTGTTACAGCATATTATATTACAGTATTTGGTTCACCTTAAGCAGCAGTTATAGCACGCCATAGTACACACACACACACACACACACACACGTACCTTACCCGGTTATACTAATTAGTACAAGGTAACACCCTATTCACATAATTCACCCACCTACCCATTACCCACCACATCCTCATTATCACCACCCACCCACTACCCATCACCCACTTCATTACCACCATCCACCTCATTACTACTACCCAACCACCCACCTCTCTCACTCAT